CGCTGGAGCCCCTGTGCATCTGCAGTCCCCTCTATCGGAAATGTTCTTCCTCCAAGTACCCACTCTGTTGCAGAATTCGGGTCTCTGCTCCACATCCTCACAGCAGAGAGGCTTTCTCTGACTGCCCTGCACAACATGCGGAGCCCTTCCTCACCACTACTGTTTTTCTTCGTGGCACTGTAAGTCACTCGCTTGCTTCCTGTCTATCTCCATCAGACTATAGCACATCAGTGAGCTCTAGAAGGGCAGGGCTTTGTTTCCCAAAATACCCTAGCACCTAATGTCAATATCAACATTTCTTCAATGAATGAATGAATCCCCTCGGTTGATCTTTATTACCAAGTCATATAGATAGCCTGCTATCTATCTAGTTGGCCCTCAGGCACTACACGATAGTTCTGCTGGGGCTCTCTGTGGCCTTGGCCCTCACCGCAGGAAAGGGTCTGGTCTTACCATGGATGCTGACCCACCATAGCCTCTTGAGGACACAGGATGCCACAAAGTGAAATCCACTCAGCCACAGTGCAAGTGCCCGAGCAGACCATAAGCTAGATAAGCTGAGATCAACACCGAATTTACTGTATGCAGAATAGGGCCAATTCATGGTATGACTGGAGAATCCTCGGCTAGAAATCTCTCCAGTAAACCTATTACAATCCCTGAGATTTTTGCCATTATTGCTTCAGTAACTTCAGACGCATCCAAATATACATCTGAGCACCAGAGTAGATCTTGAGTCAGTAGGTGATGCACCTCTGCACGGTCATACAAGGCCAGCTCCAAAAGGGATAGGCTGAGCCTGGAGCCCTTGGATAGAAGGAATACAGACCAGCCCTGCATCCTGCACCAGTGAGGGCAGCCAGAGCCAGGGCATGGGGTCCACAGTGAGGATCCTCTCAACAGGCAAAGCCAAAGCAAATAGCCTCAGGAGGCTAAAGAGTTGAGGCATCTGATGCTAACATGAGGCACTGAGCTGTGTTCCAAGACATCTGTCCTTCATCCTTCCCAGTGGCTAGGGGGACGTAAAGCCAGAATCTAGCCTGGGCGGGGGGGCAGGAGGGGGGTACAAAAACCTCCTAAACCTAATGTAAGACTGGAGTTAAAGGAAACACTGCCAGGCTGGCTGGTGAGAAACATAACAGAGCCCCAGTCCCTCAAGCAGGGCTGGGAGTCCTGGGGCCCAGGAGTCACTCCCACCATGCCTTAGGCTAAGTCCCACCAGCTGGTAAGACTGGGGCTGCCACCAACCTCCTTTCCAGACCCAGATTAGCTCAGGCCCTAGAGAGAGCAAGTCAGCAGACAGGGCCATGAGCAGTAGAAAGCCAGGCAGGCAGGTACAGGCTGCCTACACCCACACTCAGCACTGTTCTCATCTCCTAAAAGACCAGACAGGAGCCCAGAGAGGACAGCCAGCTGAACTGCTGTCTGCTATGCAGTCTTAGCCAGCAAGGAACACACTATGAAGTATCCCTTCCACGGTGCCAAGCTGGATTAAATAATTTTATTGCCAGAATTTCTCCTCTAAAATATGGGTCCTCATAGTGTGAGAAAAACACAAAATCAAATATTCATTAACATCTTAGACATTTTTTTTTTTAACAGAAATAGGAAGACCCATCAGCTAGGTAGACAAAGAATCAAAGGTTTAAAGTGTTTTTTTATGTTTTGGGATATGCTGAGGATAGGCTTTAAGAGATCAGAGAGGATTAAGATACAACTAAATTCTTCCCTAAAATTTACATCTAGAATATAAATTTGAAGCAACTAACTAGGATCAATCACCAAATATGGCCTTTTGAGGCAACTCAAAATTTACAAGCATAACACAGAAATTAAGCAAAAGGGAAACCAGGATTCTCTGAGAAGCCCAAGACAAGAACGGTTCTTAAGAAAATGAAATCAGTTAATTCTTGGAGAAGTTTCAGCCTCTTGGCCAAAGAGAAAGCCATTCCTGCCCATTTGTTCTCAAGCCTCCCAGCAGGAGACCACCAAATCTATACAAATTAATTAATAATGACAATCAAAGTGAGTAAAAGATCAGACAATGTTAATATATACACATAATATATAAGCATCACATTTTCCTACAGTTTAGTTCCTCAAAACTCAAAATTGCCTTTACAAAAATTTAAATGGACTTTTTAAAAGCTTATTAAAATTACTTTCTCACAACTGGAGAAGCACAGGGTCCTGAGAAATAGACCTCTGGTTCTATCTGCATTTTTTACAGGAACATTAAGTTGAAGGCATCTCAACTCTGATACACTTTCCAGGATTAAAAAAAAAAAAAGTAGGTTTTCAATTAATTAAGTCCCAATGAATTTTAGAATTAAAATATCACCATCCACTTAATTAATTTAAACACTGAAAGTTTAAGGTCCCAAATAAGAGAAGGCTGTTAACTAACTCCTTTAAAATATATCATTTCCAAAAAGATTAATAAATGAATCGTTTCCTCCACCCCTTATTCTCCCCCACATATTATATATTTTTTTAATTATATCTTTATATACCTTGCTAAAATTTAAGGTATTGCAGATTTTCCATAACATATGTGGATTTTAAAAGTGATTTTTATGAGAGAGGAAACTACAACATGAAGAAGGGAATGATAAACTTCAAATTCAGGATTTACCAGTAAGTGGGTGTTGAAGCTGAGCTCGGACTGAGGAGGAACACCCAAGGTTCTCAAAGGCAATGGTAATATTTCTTTTTTAAATTGAGTGATGGGGAGACAGGTGTTTGCTACACCATTATTCACCATACCTTACTTGTATTTTATGATCTTACTTAAAATACTCAATAATTAAGTTATTTTAAAAGTAAGATTTTGTGATTATCATTGCTGATACATGTCAATCAAACTCTCTCTTCAAACATTTTTCAATAGCTGTGTTACTCGACAAAAAGTAAAGTAAAACAATTAAGAGTACATAATTTGTACAGTAGCCAACCTATCATTCCATTTGAACACTTCCACAGAACAAATTAATATTTTTCACACAGACACACTCAATTTTTTTCTCACGTTATACTGTTTCATTCTGCTTACTTAAAAAAAATTATTTTTCCCTCAACTTCTGTATAACTTTCACCATTTGGTAAAAAAAAAAAAAATCATAATTTCTTCTTGTTCTCTAAATAAATCTTGAAGAAATGAAAATGGAGTCACACCTTTATGAACAACATAGAACAGAACTGGTTACATCACCCAAAATGATTGTAAAATTAAATGAAATATTTTGGTAGTAACGGGGTTTCGGTTCGCTTGTTTTGTTGTTTCCAACTATCTGGTGCCAAGAGGCATCTCTAAGTTAAACACCAGGAAAAGACACTGGATACCCTAATACTTCTCTTAACATGTCCCCAGTTCCACAATATTTATTCTGTTTTCAATAAACTGGTAGAAACGTCTTACATACTTTCATTTGGATTTGTTCACATACCTGGAGTATTTAATTTTGTAAGGACACTTGAATTCCTGTGGCCCTGAAAGGACAGCTATTTTCAGTATTTCAAAAAGCCTAACACATACATTTACCTGAAATTCAGCCATGCTAGGAAATGAAAATATGTTTGCTTTTTCCACTGGGGTTTAACCAAGCCTTCCTAAGTTAATTGGTTATCTCATGCAGAGCAGATATTCAGACATATGTCATTAATAAAAATAGAAGAATTCATCATGATTAGTTAGTACCTGCAGTCTGAAAAATCATTCAAAATAAAACAAAATATGAGGTCCATGGGGCAAAAATAATAAAATTGGTCTTTTATTACTGGTAGTTGTTTTTTAACCAGTTATGTTGGTATTTTTAAAACTGCAACAACAAAGTCTGAGAACCACTGTCCCGGAGGAGTTCTAACTATCACTACTTTCAAAAACTCCGGAAAATGTTTATTTCCTAACTATTAAAAATTTGCAAGTTAACTTTCAATTTTTTATTTTTTTATTTTACTTATTTCTTTTTAAACTAATTTATGTTATTTATACTTTGGAGGTTTTTGGGTTGTTTTTTTTTTTTTTTTTTTTTTGGCTTGGGGGTGGGTTTTTGTTTTGGTTTGGTTTGTGTTTTTTTGGCAATTCAGTTCTCTGCTCCTCAAGCTTTGGAAAACAGTAAGTCATGGAAGTGTCAAGAGGGAAAGTGTCTCATATCATATCTTCTTCCTGCTACAAGTCAGGCCAGTAACATCAGGATTGTTTCTCTTTTCCATTGCTTTCAACTTTCTTTAAAATCAAAACAGACCCTCTCCAAACTACTATTCTTATAATATTAAATACTCTGGGTGTCTGAACAAAGCCAAACTAAAAAGAATGACTTTCAATCAATAACCTTTAAAAACTTAACCAGCTCTCTAAATAATCCCCTTTGGCCTAGGGAACAGGTGCAAGGCATGCCTTCCTAGAGACTGTCTCCTCCTTCATGAAGCTGACCTTTTCCAGCCGGCAGCTCTGGTACCCCACAAATCAGTTATCGGTAGCCCGATGCCTGCTTTCCCATCTGTACTTTCCAAATGGCTCCCGATGCCAAGAGCTGAGATATGACCTGGCTCTCAGATGAGAACATGCCTCCCAAGTGACTTGCCAAGTTTCCCTGGAAGCATTTATAAATGTATTCTGTGACCTCCCTCCTCACCCTCTGCATCATGGCTCTACACTTCCTTTTTTTTTTTTTTAATATTTTATTTATTTATTCATGATAGACATAGAGAGAGAGAGAACGGCAGAGACACCGGCAGAGGGAGAAGCAGGCCGACGCGGGACTTGATCCCGGGACTCTAGGATCGCGCCCTGGGCCCAAGGCAGACGCTAAATCACTGAGCCACCCAGGGATCCCCGGCTCTACCATTCCTAATTCCACCTCCTCCTCCTCAGCCTCCAACACCATGTGCCTTCACGCCAAACTCCTTACCCACTGCTCACCTAAAACCCCAACTTCACATCCAAAGGACATAGTTTCCACAATTCTGCAGCTGGTCGGAAGTGATCTTTTCAGGCCTACCTGCAGGGAGCTCAGTTATGGCTTCTTCCCTTGCCTTCTCCAGCTTCTCCCTAACCCAGGGAAATTCCTGCAGGGAATCTAGGAATGCATCAAATGCTTTAGGACCTCTAGAAGGTAGGATATCCAGCAGCAGCATTGTTTTCCGAAGGCCTGTGGCTTGAGCTTTGATTTCTTGAAGGTGGTTTTCTGTCAAGACCCCTTCCTGGTAAAGATACTGAAGAACCAGTCCCTCCACCAGTACCTCTGCACCCAGCTCCAGGCGAAGGGAGCGAAGCACTTGCTTGTCTCTAGCCTCCATTTCTCCCTGGGAAGACACGAAATAGTAGCTCAGATTCCAGGAAGCTGACCAACCCTCCTAAAGGCAAACTCCTTAAGGTCAGGTACATCTAGGAATCTTGGCAGAGTGCCAGGCCGTGGTGTTTAGTATATGGCCGTTAAGCCAAATCAAAGTAATCTTGAATATTTCTGAGCATAATGACCAACCCTGAATATGAATCATCTTTTCTAATTTTGCTTTCCACACAATGGGGTCCTCGCTGGATTCCTTGCTTGACAAGGACGTTTGGAAAAAACTGGGCCGCGGACCCTGCTTAAAAGCAACTTTGATCTGAGAATTGCAGAGCAGCGTTTCATTTTAACATACTAACAAGAACCAGCGGCTTTACTTTAACGTCGACTTCATCACATATACCCCAACACCAGAGAAACTGCCACCGCGCGCAGGCGGCCTGCGTGCGGCCTGCGGCCTTCGGACCGGCTTCTGCTCCACCCTGCCGCGCAGTGGGCGTGGGCGCCAGAGACCCGCAGGTACCGAGCCCTGTAAGGTCCTCCGCCCCTGGGAGCAAAGCCCCCGCCCCGCCACCTCTAGGTGTGCTCTACGGGGCGCCCCCCGTGTGGTCGCGGCACCCCCCCGAGTTCGAATCTCTATAGCACCACCGCCAGGACCGCACGTGGGAGGGACGCTTATTGGGGATTTCCCCCCACTGCAGCCGTGGTCAGTGGCCACGCCCGCCGCCGGGTCTCGGGGCGCCGGTGCCGAGGCTTCCAAGGCGAAGCAGCCGGGGGTCGGGGGGCGGCACAGGGGGCTCCGTGGGGGTGGGGGGTGGCGACGGGGGAGGGGACGGCGTGCGCTGGCGGCCGCCCACGCCCGTCTGGAGCTCTCAGTTCCCTCCTTGCCACCTGAAGTCCTGCTGTATTACCAACAGGAAGAACTAGGAGGGATTTTCGGGGCAACCTGAGAAGCAGGGAATGATCTTCAGAACGGATGGAAGGGGGCGCTGGCCCCCCCAGCACCGCCACCGCCTCCCCAACCCCGGCCGGCTCGCAAACGCCGCAAGTTAGGTGGGCGGGGAAGCCACGCGGGGCCGAGGCCGCAGAGGCCACGGTCCGGGGCCTTCGAGAAAAAATGGATACGGGGTTTCTGGTTTCCTGTTACTTACGTCTGCAAACATGTATTTAAAGAAAAAAAAAAAAAAACCGCAACCGGAATCCAGACTGTTAAGGAACCTGTACCATAAGTACCATCTTTGTTGAAGGCGAAGCCCCTGAACAGGAAGTGCTGTCGCCATCTTTGTTGAGGGCAAACACAGGAAGTGCTGTCGCCATCTTTGTTGAGGGCAAACACAGGAAGTGCTGTCGCCATCTTTGTTGAGCGGGCCCAAGTGTGGGGGACTGAAGCTTTTTTCCGCCATATTTACTGCGGGTAAACAATATCGCCTCCTGGAAATGGAAAACAGTAAGTACGTCACGTAGGGGTTTATCTAAGGGAGTATTTTAAGACAGGATCTCCAGCAGGGCCTTGCCACAACTGACCTGATAGATAAGTCTCAAAAGTCGCCTTATCTACGAAACCTTTCCTGACCAATCTACTTAAAATTGCAACATTAATCTCCTGCATTCCCCATCCCTTTTCAAACTTTGTTTTTATCTGTGGTACGTTATCAACCTCTTATTAAAACTTTTACTCAAGTATTGATCTGTCACCTGTCATCTGTTTGCCTCCACTAAAATGCAGGGTCGTTTATATCATTTTATATCACAGAGTTCCCGTTGCAGCAACCAGCTAGCTACTCTAGAAAGAAAGGGATTTGTCATGGTAAATTGGGGACATTCACAGTCATTAGAAAGGCTGGAAGAGGCCTAAGCAGCACTGCCTAACTGACTCACGGCCACAATCAGGAAGGAGGAGTCGGAAGCCACCACTCCACAGTTCCAACCTCTTGTCAACACCGACAGAGTAAGTGACTGGTCATTGAAACACTGCTGCAGAAAAGCCAAGGTCTCCAGACCTGTATTAGCCAGCAGCATCAAAAAAGCACCTGCAAAGCTTACTTTGATGCATGCAGTTGGTGACAGCTATTTCACATGGAGAACATTTGCAGCAACGCTGTCTGGAGCATGTGGTTTGGAGAGTTCCGGCTTCTAAAGCACAGAAAGACATTCTAAATGTCTAAAGACATTCTAAAAAGAGAGCAGCTGATGCTGGCTGGTGACCTGCTGAGTTCACCACATTTTTCATTCAGAAGACAAGAAAAAATGCATGATCCAAATATAGAGAGATACCAGAATATCAAAAGGAGGGTCATTCCTGAATTCCTTTATGAAATAAGGCATATAAACACATTCATTGATTCACTTTAAATCAGTTTGGTGCTATATGCAGAAAGTCATAGACCTGCTAAGAATTGGTTTATGGTAACAGGAAAAAGAAACCTCAAATATCACTATTTCTAGATGTTAGGTTTCGCGATGATCGGCGGAGAAATTAAAGATGGCAGAGCCCGGCAGTAGGTTCGAGCCTGCTTTAATAGGAAGTGCTCCCCGGCGAGGTTGGGTGATTCAGAGTCAGGGAAGTTGCGCCCAGAGGGGAAAGTGTGCAGGCTTATAAGATGGGGTAGGGCAGGGTTGTTGGGAGGTTGCTAGCCGCAAGTCGGCTATTTTGAGGTCCCCAGTCTCCCCAGCCCAACATTCCGATCATTTTTTGTTGTTGTTGTTATATGGGGCGACTCAGATCTGGATGCTTCCTGCTGACATAAGGGTGTCGTAGGGCTTGTCGGAGGTGGGCAGGCGAGTGTAGGGGTGTAAAAGGAGTTGGTTGACTGACACCTGGGCGATTTCTTGGAGCTTTCCCTGCAAAAATCGGATGACACAAGGGGCAAAGGAAATTAGGATGATTATGGCACATAGGGGGCCAGCCAAGGGAAAAAGCCAAGTCATCCATGTATTGGGGAAGAGGTCCCAAGCAGTGGCACCCTGCCGTCATGACTGGATGCGGTCCTGGAGTTCCTGGATTTTGGTGGTGACAATACCCGATTGATTGATATAGTAGCAGCACTCTTCATTGAGGAATAGACATGTTCCTCCTTTTTCAGCTGTGAGGAGGTCTAAAGTCCACCTGTTTTGGAGGGCCACTGCTGCCAGGCTAGAGAGTTGGGTCTGTAGGGCTGTTAAGAGAGTCGGTGATCCATTCCATGTCATCGTTAAGTTCCTGGGAAAGCTTATAATAGAAGTTGACTGAGGCCCCGATACCTCCAGCCCCAGGCGCCACCCAGGTCAACACTCCTGGTCCTGAACGAGGCGATAAGCCCCAGTGGGCTTCCTTAAGGGGAGGATAGGGGTATTACAGGGCGAGCTGATGAGGAGGTATGAGGAGCCCCTGTTGTTTGAGGCGGTCTATGATGACCTTAAATCCTTATCGGTGTGTCAGGGAGACGGGGAACTGAGGACGGGCTGGATAGGTAGATTGGTCTTTGAGTCTGATTTTTATAGGTTGATGGTGTGACACCACAACTGGCTTGGAGGTATCCCAGACCAGGGGATTGACAAACGGAAGGCGGGGGGATTTGGACACCAGAAGGGGAAGAGTAAGGTGGCTAGAGGTGGTGGGAGAGGGGGAGAGTCGTATAGTGGCCCTGAGTTTATGGAGAATGTCCCTTCCAAGAAGGGGCACCGGGCAAGAGGGAATGATAAGGGAAGAGTGAGCAAAAGGGAACCCATCCAAGCTACAAGTGAGGGGCGGGGTTGACCTAGGACTGGAGGAGGTGCCATCAATTCCCATCACCATCATTGGGGAGGGCTGACTAGGTCCCGAAAAGGAGGGCAGGACAGAATAGGTCACCCCCATGTCCAGCAAGAAGGATATGGACTTACCCACTACCTGGAGCGTAACCCTGGGCTTGGCGTGGGTGAGTAGGGTGTCCGAGTCTGGGCGCCGTCAGTCGTCCTCCACACCCAGTAGTTGGAAAGCCGGATTCACCGATTCAGGGTCTCCTCCACGTGGAGGCTCCGAGGATGCCCCGAGTCCGGGACAGTTGGACTTCCAGTGGCCCATCATCTTACGTTGAGGGCATCTTACGTTGAGGGCATGGCCGGGTGGGTTCCTTTGGATTAGGGCAGTGACGGGCCCAGTGTCCCTCGTTGCCACATTTGAAACAGGCTCCCGGAGGGGGTGCGACTATTTCCTCCCTTTTTCTGATCCCCGGAGTTTGCGGGCCTCAGGGCAGCAGCCAAGGCTTGGGTCTGTAGTTGGACTTTCTGTTGGAGTCCGGCTTGCCATTTCTGTTCGGCAGGCTCCTCCCGGGTGTTAAAAACTTTAAAGGCCACTTTCACCAGGCCTGAGATGGGGGTTTGAGGACCCTCCTCCGCCTTTTTAAATTTTTTCCGAATGTCTGGCGCCAACTGGGAAATAAAATGGGTCGCCCGCACAGTCGCCCCCGCCGGAGAGGTTGGATCTAATTGGGTTATTGGGTTAAGGCTTCCGTCAGTCTATTTAGGAACACGGGAGGGTTCTCATCGGGGTTCTCAACGATTTCTCGCAGTTTGTCATAATTGACCACCTTGTTTGAGGCCGCCCTCATGCCCGCCAGGAGGCACTGCACCATGCGGTCCGGCGTCCGCGGCCCTCCTGGCCGGCCTGGTAATCCCATCCGGGATCCGCCGCTGGGATCCACTGCCAGGATCTGCCTCCGGGATCCGCCCGGGGCGCCCACGGGCACCGCGAGGCCGGGAGATGGGCCTGGTCGGCGTGTTCCCGCGCCGCTGCCTGAATGCGCTCTCTCTTCAGGTGTGAGAGTCGTGGTCTGCACCACAGGTAGGTGGTGCCACGTAAGGTCACGGGCCTGAGCTAAACGCTGAAATTCGTTGATGTAGTTACCTGGGCTGGCAGAGAAAGAGCCCAGCCGTTTTTCAGCTCCTCCCGCAAGGGGCAGACAAGGCCCGACGGTGTCTGGTGAGACCTGGGCCGGCGGCGACCGGAGGGGAAGTCGAGGAGGTGGGGGAGCCCGAGGGGAGGGAGTAGGAGGGACAGCGTTGGGTTCAGGGTCAGGGGGCGGTGGAGGAGCCGCTGGCCCCAAGCGGTGGGAGGATGTGAGGTTCTCCGGCTTTCGGAAAGGGGAGAAGGGGAGTAAGAGTCGAGTAGGAGGATGAGGAGTTGGTAGGAGGTATGTCGGGAGGTGGGGTACGGGCAAGTAGACCTGGTAGGCGAACATCGAGGGCAGAGGGAGGGCCAGGAGCGCAGATCCCAGAAAGCTTGTATATAAGGAACCTCGGACCATTTGCCTTGGTGTCTGCAAAGGTTATCAAGATCCGTAAGAATTTGGTAATCGAAAGTTCCCTCTGGAGGCCATGGGGACCGATTGTCTAATTGGTATTGAGGCCAGGCTCCCGTACCATAATGGGTAAGGCGACGCCTCCTCAGGTCATGGGAGAACCCCAAGACTTCAAGGTTAGCCTGTAGGCAGCCCAAGGGGTTTTCAGATCAATCCTGGACTGGGTGTTTCCCATAGTCCTGGTTGGGCAATTCCAAGGTCAAAACCCGGGGTCCCGGTCCGTCCTTGGAATTACGGAACAGAATCAGAGGCCGCCGCGGGGAAGAGGACGGCTCCAGATAGCCTGGGAGCCGGCCCGGGTAGGGGCTACCGGGGCGGAGGCCGTGACCCCGACGGCCCGGGTGGGGGCTACGGGGGCGGGGTCGTGACCCCGACGGCCCGGGTGGGGGCTACGGGGGCGGGGTCGTGACCCCGACGGACGGGCCGGGGAGCCGTCCCGGGCTCTGACGCAGCTGCGGTTTCCGCAGAGCGAGGACGACCGCGGACGGCGAGCTCCCCCACACGCCGCGGGCAAGGAGGCCGCTGGTGGTCCTGGCCGGGAGAGGACAGTCAGCCGTCCGTCACCCAGGTGAGGTCTCCATCTCCCCCCGGGTTTCGGCACCAGATTGTGAGGTTTCCCGATGATCGGCGGAGAAATCAAAGACGGCAGAGCGGGCGGAAGGTGGGAGGTTGGGAGGGCGCGGCCGAGGGCGAGGCGCGTGCCGGGAGGAGGGCCGGCCGGCGGCGCTGCGGGCTGCGGGCTGCGGGCCTCGGCGGCCATCTTGAGGCCCGTCCCGCGGCCCGACACTACCCGGGTTTCCTCCACGAACCCCTCCAGTGGAAGATGAGAAGATCTTTGTAAGTAGATCAGTGGAAACCCGTTCTAAACCTTCCTCCTCAAAGCCTTCTCATTTTTGTGACCAGTCTGAAGTGTTGCTATACGATATACTATTTTATTACACCAGTAGTGACCATTTCTTTACATGGGTGGCAAGTATTATTATTATCAGCATTTTACAGATGTGAAGACTTGTGGAATCAAAGTGGTCAAATATCCTAGCCAGCTTTCACAGCTAATACATAGCAAAACCTGAATTCTAACCAGGTCCTTCCAATTTCATGCCCTTTCCAGTACACAGTATTACCACAGTCGCATATGGTGAAGCATTGGTTGCTCTAGACAGCCGGAATATTGGCAGATCATTCAGGTGCCACTTCTCACTCGATACTCTGAGCTCCTAGTACTCTCTTTCTCTCTTTTTTTTTTTTTTTTTTTTCTTTTTTCTCCTCTGGAACTGCTGTTCCTTTCCTGGGCAAGATTTAGCTTTT